AAGACCAATACCGAGTCAAGACCAAGACTCAGTCAAGACCAGGATTCAGTCAAGACCAGGACCCAGTCAAGACCAGGACCCAGTCAAGACCAAGACTCAGTCAAGGCCAGGACTCAGTCAAGACCAAGATTCAGTCAAGACTAGGTTGATTACCAAAGAAAAGACCCAGACCTGCCCCAGTCTAGACCGAGTCAAGAGAGACTAGGTACAAACCTCTAACAGGGACTTGAACGTGTCGAACTTCCCGTAGTCAGAGACAATCTTCAACAGGTTCTCCTGTTGAAGAAAAACAGGAAGTCAGTCTGAGTTCAATGAAACAGTGGATCAACATGAGGTCCAGGTCTCACCTGGGGGTCCAGGTCTCACCTGAGGGTTGCTTTCCACAGTCGGCGCCACGCTGTCCATCAGCTTGTTGATGATGTGGATCATCCCGTTAGACGCCACCAAGTCCGACTGAAGGATCACTGCCTTCTTCCTGCTGCCGTGGAGACGGATCTTCGTCTGCAGGTCCTGGGGGGGGCGGGGGGGAGGAGGAGGAGGAGGAGGAGGAGGAGGAGGAGGAGTAAGAAGAACAAGAACAAGAACAAGAAGGAAAGACACAACTTCTTCAGAACTTAAACCAATGTGACTTATAGCTGATTAATATGCGCCTTAGTGCCGACTCATGCCTGATTTGTTCTCCACTTTGTCCCGACTCATACCAACTTGTACAGACTTGTTGCTGACTAAATGTCGACTTGATAGCCGTGTGCCTCACCCCCTCACTGGTGTCCATCTCCCCCATCTTTCCCGTCACGGTGTAGAAGACATCGGTTCTCTTCAGCGTGTCGAAGGGCAGGACTCCGGCCACCAGGTGCATCTTGCTCAGGTACTGAGCCTTAGACCGGTCCGCCGTCAGAGTCCGCACCTGAGAGGGAGAACGGGTCGTTAAACCCTCAGTCAAGTCTGAGCCCACAGGAAGGATAACAGAGACTTTCAAGATAAGAGGATCTCACCGAAACCCCCCTGAAGCCTTTATTGATCGGGACAAACAGGGTGAATGGACCCAGGTTCTGCAGGGACCAGGAGAGAGACCCTGAAAGCAAACAGTTCTCATTGAGTTCTTCATTCCAACTCAAATCTGACTTGTTTGTGACTGATTTTCAACTTTTCGAATAAAGACTTTTGAATAATAGCCAACCTGTTAGCGACTTGTTTCTGAATAACAGCCGACCTGTTAGTGACTTGTTTCTAAATAACAGCCGACCTGTTAGTGACTTGTTTCTAAATAACAGCCTACCTGTTAGTGACTTGTTTCTGAATAACAGCCGACCTGTTAGTGACTTGTTTCTAAATAACAGCCGACCTGTTAGTGACTTGTTTCTGAATAACAGCCGACCTGTTAGTGACTTGTTTCTAAATAACAGCCGACCTGTTAGCGACCTGTTAGTGACTAGTTTCTAAATAACAGCCGACCTGTTAGTGACTTGTTTCTAAATAACAGCCGACCTGTTAGTGACTTGTTTCTAAATAACAGCCGACCTGTTAGTGACTTGTTTCTGAATAACAGCCGACCTGTTAGTGACTTGTTTCTGAATAACAGCCGACCTGTTAGTGACTTGTTTCTAAATAACAGCCGACCTGTTAGTGACTTGTTTCTAAATAACAGCCGACCTGTTAGTGACTTGATTCAAAATAACAGCCGACCTGTTAGTGACTTGTTTCTGAATAACAGCCGACCTGTTAGTGACTTGTTTCTAAATAACAGCCGACCTGTTAGAGACTTGTTTCTGAATAATAGCCGACCTGTTAGTGACTTGTTTCTGAATAACAGCCGACTTGTTAGCGACTTGTTTCTAAATAACAGCCGACTTGTTAGCGACTTGTTTCTGAATAATAGCCGACCTGTTAGTGACTTGTTTCTAAATAACAGCCGACCTGTTAGTGACTTGTTTCTGAATAACAGCCGACCTGTTAGTGACTTGTTTCTAAATAACAGCCGACCTGTTAGTGAC